AAAAGCAAAACCCACCGATCCCCCTTTGTTTCCTTTGTAGCCCAGACTTCGGATTGGGGTGAGGAAGAAGGTGGGGATGGGAGCATCGCCGTGGAGGAGCCAGAAGCCAATTTTGTGGATGGTGAAGGAGAAGCCTCGGAGCCTCCGGAAGAAGCCAAGCTCTTCGTCGGGAACTTGTCTTACGACGTTGACAGCCAAGCCCTCGCTATGCTCTTTGAGCAAGCCGGTACTGTTGAAATCGCCGAGGTGATTCCTTCTTCTTCGCTTATCTTCTTTACGCATTGCATCAACTACGACTTGACAAGACTGAATTGACTTCACTCATGCTTTTGGTAATCCTCAATAATTCTTTTTCAAGGTTATATACAATAGGGAAACCGACCAGAGTCGTGGGTTTGGATTTGTGACAATGAGTACCGTTGAAGAAGCTGAGAAAGCTATCGACAAGTTCAACCGTTATGTAAGTTGATATGTTTCAATCATATCTCAAGCATTTTCTATCATGTATTGGAAGCTTTGGCATTTGTTTCACCCTTAGGGAAATGTTTGTCCTGCGACATTTTGGCAACTGAGCTGAGTTAGGGATTCTGTAACCTCTGATTCTGTCTCTGAGAAACGCATCTGTGTTGGTATTTTCATGTTTTGTTAGGATCTGAATGGACGGCTTCTGACAGTAAACAAGGCAGCTCCAAGAGGATCACGTCCTGCATTGAGAGTCTATGTGGGAAATCTACCATGGGATGTAGACAATGGTCGTCTTGAACAACTTTTCAGTGAGTATGGAAAAGTTGTGGAAGCTCGGGTGGTATATGACCGTGAGACAGGTCGTTCACGTGGATTTGGGTTTGTCACAATGTCTAACGAGACTGAACTCAATGACGCCATTGCTGCTCTTGATGGACAGGTACCCACCTCTTCCTCATATATTGGTTCTGCTAATGCAATTTACATGATGTGTGGTCATCTCACCTCTCTATTGGTCTTTCGCTGTGTATGTGTTTGTAGAACATGGACGGTAGAGCAATCAGAGTTAATGTAGCGGAGGAACGACCAAGGCGTGGATTTTAAAGCTGAAATCTCCTTGTG